AAAAAAATATCACTAAAATTAAAACTCCATAGCCTAAGACACCTTCTTCGCTCCAACATCCCACTCAACAATAAAACTCTTATCTACAAACAACTTATTCGTCCTGCAATAACTTATGGCATCCAAATATGGGGATCAACCAAAGTTTCAAATCTAAAATTGTTACAATCCTTCCAATCAATAAATTTACGTTTGTTGACCCAAGCTCCATGGTACGTTAGCAACAACACCCTTCACAACGATCTCAAAATTCCCTATATCTCTGCTTTTACTTCCACTCACTATAAAAAATTTCACGCCAACACATTAGCTCATTCAAATCCACTTATATCTAATCTTTCTTCTCTAACTATCCCGAATAATCCACCCCGACGCTTAAAGCGTAATTGGTCACGCGACCTCCTAAACAAATAAAAAACTACTAAAAAAAAAAAAGTTGAAGTAACGTTACTGGACGCCCCCTTCATTCAAGCTGTCAAGCCCTGTAAATTTTTGTTATTATTATTACTTATTGTATTGTCTATACAGATTGTATATATTCGCTTTCTAAAATAAAAAAAAAAAACCAATCACCCAATCATACACTTCATATACTCCAGATCGCATTATAGTACAGAAAAATTAATTTAAACATTATATTACCGTAGAATTGTGCAGTAACCTCTATTTATGCAAACGAATAATAGTTGTAAAATAATATTTTCAAAATTCTTCTTTACTTTTATTATAAATGTAAAATAGTCGTCATGGTACAAAAATAACATTTCAAAAAGTAGTGGATTTATATACAAATCAATTACATGCTTTCAAAATTAAAAATATGAACTTATAGTATATTTCATTATACAATTTAGTACGCGATTATTTAGACCTAAGGTACTATATCGCTGTACATAGACTAATCAAAAAATGACTATGAAATAATAAAATTAAACCAATATTTTATGTTTTAACTTGTGTTTTATACCTTCATCAGGTGTAATAGAATATCATAAGATACAGATAATTCGTTATGAGAAAACTAAATTAAAACGAGCAAGACTTGCATAATATTGAACTATAATGGTTCCATATCTTGACTCCATCCCCCCTTAAAAATTATCTCTTCTCGGAAATAGACACAGCGCTGATAACGATGATTAATAAAATAATAATTTTAATATTTCTGATTTCATTCAACATAATCAAGCAACTCACAGACACTAGGAAAATTATATTAGTATCATTAACTTTGTGTTCAATAATAATTTGAACTTGTTTATAACCTCCTCTTTTATTTAAATAAAATAACTTTATAAAATGACAAGGCACACTCTAATGTAAAATTCTGGTTCCGCCTATGATAGTATGTTTTGTTATAAATTCTACATCAATAAAACTTTTACTAAAAATGAATCGAAAATGAACTCGAAATCGATAAATAATAAATACTAATATCTAAAACCGAAACCAAAATTAAAAGAAGAATACCGATATTCAAAACCGAAATCGAAATCGGAAAAATTAAATACCGATATTAAATACCGAAAACGAAATCCGAAAATTTAAAAACCGATATCCAAAACCTAAATCAAAATCGGAAAATAAAATACTGTTATCCAAAACCAAAATCGAAATCGGAAAATAAAAATATCATTATCCAAAACCAAAATCGAAATCGGAAAAAATATATACCGTTATACAAAACCGAAATCGAAACCAGAAAATTTTTTTTCGGTTTCAAGCCCTGATTATATTATTGCGTTGTACGTCGTTTCGCTGCACTCAAAGAAATCCTATTGAGAATCGGTTGTTATGTTAATCGTACCAATAAATCATATGACGCATCCGTATGAAAAAACGTTTGATATTTTGTTTAATTCAAAAATTACCCCTAGTACAAACCTTGGAAGTTATTCGGCTGTTTTCTACGAACACCATTAATTAAAATATTCTTATCTGACATAATATGAACGTAATAAATTTAACACGCATTCAAATATCGTTTTATGTAACAACATTGGTTCTTACAATATCGTGCATCGGGTACGTCCTAGATAATAGGTAATCATCGTGGCCATCACTTTTAACTGAAAAAAACAAAAACGAAGAAAAAATCTATTCACAGTAATCTAATTTTTTACTGAGTAGTGAAAATATGTGATCGTTAACATGTCAGAACGAAATCCGGGCTTAAGTGTTATCATAACTATACGGACTATAGAGATATAAAATCAAATTACGATAATTAAAGCCGATAAAAAAAACGGACTCATGCCTCAGATTTTACCAACACGCAGCGTCGTTTTCAAAGGGAAAACATAAATAGTTACGTATTAATCCTGCACACGCATAGCACCGTATTATGTAATAAGTAATAAGATTCATGAACACCTGTGGCATAACGATATTTCGCCCCCTTTGACGTGTTCGACGCGTGATGAACTCTCTAAATTTGAACCACTTGTGTTCGATGATGCGTACACATACACACGTTATGGTAATTTTACCATGTTACGTACCTGCGTACACTACATATACAATGTATGTTATACATACATACGTATTATAATGCGTATGATACGCGTGCGCGATGTTTATGGGCGAAAATTAAAATCAACATTGCCGCTGTCCTTGGAACGGCCCGCAGTTGAACAAGGTGGAAAGCTGTAGAGATAATGTGATAATCGTATGCAATCGGATCCAGCAAACTATACATAAACGTCCGCGTTGTCTTGCCCGTGCACGTACACGTTAAACATTTCCGAACGTTTTGGACGACCTACACGCGTCCGTCGACACACACGCGTTGCCGGATGATGTAACGATCAACGAGCGAGTGCATCGACAAGTGCATCGCGACGGTTGTGAACGTGGGTTCAGCCACACGTGTTCTGTTCGGATGGTCTGTTACGCTGTACTACAATGTGATAGTCTTCGTAAGCGACCGATAAGCAACGACCGAACGGCTTTTCACCCCCACGGTCACATTTAGACTTACAACTTGCACCTCGTAAATGTATGTGTTATGTTACACACGAATTTCACAGTTGTACGATGTTAGTTATATTATCTAATGCATTTTAATATCGTTTTACTACACGATGTTCAAGTTATTGCATTTTACAAATATTTTAACAACGAATTTGTCTAGATTTTGTGCTACGTATAACAGGTACGTTTAACATCACAAGTTGTTGTTTTAGTCTCCCTCGTCGTCTTGCACGTAACTGGTCTTAAGATTTACTTAGCTAGTAAAAAAAATAATAGTTAATAAAAAAATAATTCTATTCGTAGTAATGTTCATTGGACACCTTTTTTCATGCCACCAACCAACTAGATAATACTGATGTATCAATTTAATTCAGATTGAAAATTTTTCTATTATTCTAATAAAAAAAAAAAGAAAGTTAT